ATCTCAATATATAGTAGATTTGTATAACAAAGAGCTTTGTCTTATAAGCATGTGTTTTACTTACAAAAATATAAGTTAAAGTTCAGGTATCATTTTTGGACATGACTTTTTTGTTCACCTAGATATAAATAACAAGTAATTTATTTGTCTTAGCATTTACTACAATAAATATCCAAAAGATAATATATTATTGTTATTTTTAAGTAATTCCTAGAAAAAAATTCAAATTTTTATTAGAACTTATTTCAATGACAGTAATTAATATAATAGCAATGATATATAATTTCTAAGAATATAATTGTAAATTAACTTATTGTTTTACACTTATCAAAAAAATGTATACGGATACTTTGCGTATCCTTAATTGTAATCCCAATTATCAGTAATCATTGTTAAACATAAACAGTCTAGTTAGATATAAAGCGTATATAAGCTCGGTTATTTAATTCATTGTCAGTATTGTGTGATCGTTGAAAAATAATAACACAATTAATATCATAACTGTGCAAACATTTTAACAAAAATGTCTAAACTATTATTACTTTCGCTACTATTGGTGTCCATCGCTATTGTTTTGGGTATGATTTTGAAAATAATGCCTAATATAATGTTATAAAAACATGTTATAATTTAAAATTTAATTAAATTTCACATTGTTACTTTATAGCCAACACTCCTGAACAAGATAAATTATGCGCTGAGGTTGGATTTTGCCCCCACGAGACTGATCCGCATAAATACTACCAATGTCAATTTATACCGGACAGCAGCACATGGTATTTGGCCGAAATGCACTGTCAGGCTAGCCTTGTTTGGAGTCAGCAACACTTGTATTGCGATTGGAAAGCACAATAGTTTATAGAGATGTTTATAACAATTTGATCACTCCAATGTTAATGCGATTTTTTTGTAAGATTATTAATCATGACCAAACAATAAAAAAAATATAGCAAGTCAATAAAGTTTTTAAAATAAAATTTTTATTGTTAATTTAATACATTTTATAACTGTAAAATTAGTTTCTATAATTAGCAATTTCAAAATATTGATATATAACTTTTGAATTTCAAAAATGGGACCGATATTGCATTTACAATGGTATTCAAAGGCAATTAATATATCAGACAAATAAATGTGATGGAATTTTTTAATTGGTTAGATCAGTTGTTAAAATTTATATCTAATTGTTATTTTCTTTATCAAATCTTTGTGAAAAAATACTTTACGGCATTTTATTATCTCATATTAAAAAAGTGCCATGATCATTGTGTCAATGTAATTTCAGGAGTGGACTTCTTCGGGAGAGGATTACTTCAAAATCACAAGACATACAGACAAATGAATGGCAGTGTTTGTCAATTAATAAATGCTGTTTTACATCAAATTGCCATTTTAAAATTATAGTTAAATTTGACCAATAAATTGAGTTTTTAATGAGTCCCCTTTTTGAAATGCAATGATTATTATAACATACTAAATAAATTTATCTAAATTTTTTAAATATTTTTTAAATAAATAAAAATAAATTATAGAAATCATACAATTTATATTACAATTATTAGGAAAAATACTAGTCTTAATTAACAAACATCATATAATGTAATATTAATTTAATAAATTCAATCAATAGTGTTTATTGTTTTTATAAAATTAGTCTTTAACCAAAATTAATCGTTACAACGGTATAATAAATAAAATTTATTTATAATGAATTCAAAATAAATTAATATAAGAAACTATTAGTAATCTAATTTACCTTAAGTACTGTAAATTGTTTAGATATAAAATGCCCGAATATGACCGTAAAATAATTAGGTGTAATATTTTTAATTTAGATCTTGATATAATTTGACAAGGGCCATGCAAGTTTTTGCCGACTCACAATTAAATTTAATTCAGTTGTACATGTAGATTGGACGAAATAAAAAATATAAATTCTATATCTCGGGCTGATAGCCACAAACGACCGAAATATGACAATTCTAGTGATCCCGTCTATACGGCGTATAGCATTGAAAAAAGGTGTTTCACACTGTGCTTGGGCTAATCACCAGTACTGCATTGCTATATGCTGTATGGGCGCGATCACTAGAATGGTCATATCTCGGCCGTTTGTGGCTATCAGCCCGAGATATAGAATTTATATTTTTTATTCCCACTCAATTTACACATATAACTGAATTAAATTTAATTGTGAATCGGAAAAAACTTGCATTTCCCTTGTGAGTGTTTTGTTAGCCACTTAACACTTTATCATATAAGCATATTACTAATATGATATTAGCAATTTAAAATGTTAGCATTGTGATTTGTTAATCACAATTTTAGTATATTATGTATAAAATTTATTTTCGTAAGTACCGCATATAATTGCACGCAATGTTTAAAACTTAATTTGATTTGAAAAATATAAATTTTAATTATAAAATAATAAACTACTTCTAATTAAATGGAATTTACATTTAAATGAAAAAATTAATATGAACAGTATTCAAATAAATACCAAAATAAATATATAACGATATAATATAACATATTCAATAATGACTGCCATGAGATAATATTATATGCGGTAATTTAGGTATTAACAATAATTATACTTTGTAAAAACACTTGATAATTAAAGTAAAATTTACTTTCACTTTACCTCAATTAAAAGCAAATACAAAATAATAAGTGTAAAACACTTTATATTAAGTGGCGGCAAGTTACAAATAATATCTTTACAAATCCCACGGTATGACAATTTTAGATTATGGTGTTGATTAAATTATAATGATACAAAAAATTACTTTTAATTTTAAGTATAAATAGCACAAAAAAATACAACAAAATATAATTAATACTATTTAATAAATTATTATTATTATAAGTATTTAAAATAGTGTAAAAATGAAATTATTGTCAATAGTATTAACCGTAGTATTGGTATCGATAGCCGCCGGCGACTACAGTATCGATGACTACAAAGCTGTCGGGAATTCGCGGAACTTTACGGGAAAAGTGGTTTTCGTGACCGGTTCCTCGTCCGGCATCGGCGCCGGTATTGTTAAGCTGTTCTCTATATTAGGGGCCAAAGTTGTAGTCACCGGTAGGAAAGCGGCCGACATATCAAAAGTGGCCAAAGAGTGTTACGAGTTGTCGCCGCAAAAGTTGAAAGTAAAAATGATAAAAAATCTTTATGAAATTTTATGAAATTATTATTATATAACTTATTTATATTTATAACAAATTATTTTCTCAGCCCCTGGAAGTGGTGGCAGATCTGACCAAATCCGCTGACGTTAACCATTTAATTGACAACACTATTACATTTTTTGGCAAATTAGATGTATTGGTCAACAATGCGGGCATTTATCCGCCGACAAACATCACTCAACCCGATATACTGCAGGTCTGGGACCAGATTATGGCCATTGACTTGCGATCGGTGGTAGAGCTGATACACCGGACGGTACCACACCTGGAGAAAACCAACGGCACTATTATTGACATATCCAGCGCTGCCTCAACCACCCCAGTAAATCATATTTGAGCTTAAACCATACCTTGTAAATGTATATTGTGCAATTTTAAATAATTTTTTACATAGATTCACAATTACTTGGCGTACGCCTCGGCTAAGGCTGGACTGGATATGTTGGGTCGTGTATTGGCCCTGGAATTGGGCCCCAAAAACATCCGGGTCAACACAATTAAGTAATTATAAAATAAATAAAAAATTACGAAAATAAAATTAACTTTCTCTCTCTCTCTCTCTCTCTCTCTTCTCGTGAACACTACTGTTGATTGCATTGAAGATTCTGTGCAATATNTCTCTCTCTCTCTCTCTCTCTCTCTCTCTCTCTCTCTCTCATTTTAGCCCAGGTTTTATACAAGTGACCGAAAAGCCCACCCCATATAACGAGTACCTGAGAAGCATAACACCAATACGCAAAATTGGTGAACCCCTAGACGTGGCCCGAGCTGTAGCCCTATTGGCATCAACTGATGCCCAGTATATGACCGCACTAATATTGTAGTCGACGGAGGTATTGTGTATACCGCAGGTGCACTAAATTTACCCACACCATCAAAATTGTAATTAAATGTTAGCAGTAATAATGCTTCTAATTTATTATTTCACCATTTAATAATTATAGTATCTGGTAACATAAGATAACATCTAATTTATAATACAATTTCATACTGGATTGTACTCAATGTTACTAAATAAATTTTTAAATAATAAATTAACTATGTAATATTACATTTTTATTGAATAAAAAATGAACTTTTAAAGTTTGATGGAAATAAAAAATACTTAGAAAATTGATTAGATTTCAATAATAAAACTATTACTTACGAGCAGAGGCCGGTTACTTAAGTTACCGGATCTTAATAAAAGGCCACTCATTGTGTAGTTTAGGCCAAATAAAAAATTATAAATTCAATATCTCGGGCTGATAGCCATAAACTACCGAGATATGATCATTTTTGTGATCGCGCTTATACAGGATATAGCAATACAGTACTGATGATTGGCCCAAGCACTGTGTGATACATAGTGTTGCCAGGTCATTTTCCCTATTTCCTTGATATATTCATTTTTTAAGTAAATTTTCCGGGAGATTCCTTGAGATTTTTTAAACGAATTCCTTGATTTTTTTCTTGAGGTGAAAAATAGCCCTAAAATGTTATTAACATCTAATAATTATCAAAATAATCAGTCGAAATCTAAAATAACGTTTAAATCTACACGATTTTTGACGATATTCGCTTTAAATTACTATACTCGCTGTGATTCGCAACAAATCAAATATTGTGAATTAAGTAAAACAATCATTGTGAATTCAATGATATTAGTTTAATGATCCCATCTTTAAAGCAGATTTCCAGCAAAAAGTGTAAATTGAATCAATGTATTTATTATCATGCAATTCCGGGAGCTCCCCATGTCAAGGTGAGACCCCCGCCGGGAGACGGCAGTCGGACCCTCATTCCGGGAGACTCCCGGGCAACCGGGAGCTTTTGGCAACACTAGTGATACACCGTTTTCAATGCTATACGCCGTATACACAAAATTACAAAAATGGTCATATCTTGGTAGTTTATGGGTATCAGCCCAAAATATTGAATTTATATTTTTTATTTGGTCTAAACTATACAATGAGTTGCCTTTTATTAAGATCCGGTAACTTAAGTAACCGGCCTCTGTTTGTTAAAAATTTAAATAAGTTTGAGGCATTTAGTTATTTTATTACGGTAAATTAATACCGGGGATGAAGGCCAAACGATCCTATAAACCACATTATTCCTATCAGAATATTGGTTAAAAATTTGTAGATGATAAATTGTTTTTGATTATGGAATTAAGATTGGTTTAATTTTAAAAAATTATTATTTATTTAATTATGTTTCCAAAAAATTCAAATTAAAAGCCATATATTAATAATCTATGTCATAAACTAATTAAAGTATAATACTAAATTATTTACTCAACAAATTAATCTTAACTTGTTCTCGAACAAAATAACGCAAATGATCATCTTGGCGGGTAATATGAAAAGTTAGCAGAGCGGATTCGTCGGGGTACATGCGTAAAAATTCGGTATCAATCGTTTGGTTAAAGTAACATGTTTGCTTAACACCATGCTTAATCGGGCATTGAGTGTGTTTACACCCGTCAAACACAAAACCTGGCAATAATGAGTCGGCGTCGATATCGTAGTGCGACGAATCCATGTTTATCAACATTCTAAAATTTAGTTCATCATGGTCGTAAGCTAAATAAATTTGACATGTTAAAGTTGAACTTTTTTGAAAAAAATGTCAGTAAAGTTTGCGAATAAAATGAGAATCTTACTTGGTGTAAAATCAAAATTTAATATTAAATTGTCGCCACGTACAACATTACATGGTTTGCCCGCAACGCAGCCTGCTATATCAAACCGCGAGACCGAACCTTCTGGGTTACCTGAATTAAACAACAAGGTAAATGAGTATCAATTTAATATAACAGGTATAAATAAATTATATTAAATACAAACCGATTTGTTTGTGATCAACATTGCCTGAAAAGGCAATGCTTACTGAAAGTGACAAAATCAAATATCCTAACAAAGTCATTGTGTTAATAAAATATTGTTAGTATGTAATATTTATATTGCAATAGTATATAAACACAATAAAATACTAATTAAATGAATACTGTTTAGCTAACGAATGGCTACTATTTATATTAAAATATTGTATTTTATTTATCATGTCGTTACTTAACAATCTTATACATATTGGAACAAGTTCCTAGAACTTACCTCCTAGAAATGTCAAAAGTAACTAATTCTTAGAACATATATGAATTATAGTTAAAAATATTATCTTAAAAATTAATATACCTAGAATACTTATATCTTTGAGTGTATATTATATCCTGAACTGTAGTTATAATTTTGATAATTGAATTGTATTAAGAAAGATAATGTATAAGTTTATTTGTTACAATGCACTTCAATTAGTTTCAGGTGCGTGTCTACTTTTAGCTGTACTCAAAGTAGGATACTTAGAAGAAATCGCGGATATAACACTCTTATATACGTTTTGCAGAATTTTTTAAAAATATTATCTTAAAAATTAATATACCTAGAATACTTATATCTTTGAGTGTATATTATATCCTGAACTGTAGTTATAATTTTGATAATTGAATTGTATTAAGAAAGATAATGTATAAGTTTATTTGTTACAATGCACTTCAATTGGTTTCAGCTGTGTGATCTTTTTATTATCATGAATTGTTCCATTTACAATTGTAAAATACAATATGAGTTATATTTAGCAATTATTTTCAGGAATTAGTTTTTAAAATTATCTTAAATATGCATATGATTTTTAAATAAAGATGGTATTTGTAAAAATAATACAATAATTTAGTAAAGAGGCAGTCAAATAATTTGGTCGGTCGTAGAATTTGAATATCTTTTATTCTGTAAGAAATAATAATTACTAATTATTAAATTCTGCAAAACGTATATAAGAGTGTTATATCCGCGATTTCTTCTAAATATCCTACTTTGAGTACAGCTAAAAGTAGACACGCACCTGAAACTAATGGAAGTGCATAGTGACAGATAAACTTATATTATCTAGTTTATATACTAACTAGAAGTTCGACCAATTGTATTAAAACAACTATATTTTACATAAGTTTAATCTCTCTCTCGCTCTCTCTCTCTCTCTCTCTCTCTCTCTCTCTAATAATATTTTTATTTAAATACGATAATTTATTTTATTATTTAGATATAAATAATATATAATTTGTTCCTAAAAATTATAATTTTTTAAATAAATCTAGAATTGATAATAAGTATAAAACTCAGATAATGCCATAAAAGTAATTGCCAAAATAATAAAACATTTTTATTGTTTATATAAATATTGCATTAACCTTTTAATAAATAGTATGTATTAAAAATGTAATATGTAATTATATTCAATTCTCATATGGATTTCTAGACACATTTAAGTTTTAACCACAATTCAGAATGAATAATTTGGTTTAGTACATTAACATGTGTTATATTATTTGATCTACAATATTGTCTCACTCTATTACATAATAATGATATTGCGTCTGCAACCATGATAATCGATAAGCTAAACCACATGCTAATTACACTGGCCAACAGGCATAGATACTCTTCCCAGGTTAGTTTGAGAGTAGTTTCAAACAACACGGCCGGTTCGGGCGATTGCCTGATAATTAACCTTGTATACATTCCCATGTCTCTACTTCGATCAGTCGGCTTAAATTGAACACTGTAATATTCGTGAAAACATTCGACCATGTTGGCACATTTTCTAACGCAACCAACCCTGTGTTTAGAGTCGGCGAATGATTTACCATCAAACATTGATCTACTTTTATTATCATATATTAACTGCAAACCGGGATGCAGCGAGGTGGCTTTAAAATGTTCGTCATTGGTACAGCGCTCAATGCAATCACTTCGCGATGTGCCGTACAGACACTGTTTACTATAAGCTTGATAATTTTGTTTTACCACGGTACGGTAAAATGTCAACTCACCTTGGTTAATTTTGCAAAAAGTTTGGCCAACTCTAGACAGCACAGTTGGTCGCGAGTGTACTATTAGTAATGCCGTAATGTTTGGCGGCAAATATAGTACTACAACCGACTGTCGATTTTCCAACACGAACTTATTATCGTTGTGTTGACCGTATGGTTGAGCGAAAAATGTAGCACATACATGCTTTATATTGATTGATAGTATTGGTGCCGATAACCGTGAACAATTGTTATATGTTACTAGGTAATTATCATGTGCGATTGCTGTTTTACACGCTAACCACTCGTTGATTGGCTTTAATATTGCAAACTGATTGGCCATGGCCAATCGATTCAATGTTATTAAATATGTTAATCGCTCAATATAAGACATTTCATTAATGTTTTTAGTATAATTAAACGTGCTTTTTATCCAGCTAGATTTTATAACTTTTGCTTTATCTGTACATACGGTAAGGCCGGGCAACTCTATATGATCCTCGTTATCGTATATGACATTAGTTGTGGTTTCGTATGAAAAGTATAATAAACTTATTTTATACATTTGATACACACATCCCATTAAACATAACATGTATGATATTATAACAAACTTGTTTTTTGCAATTTTGTTTAAAATCATGTTTAAATTATACATTTAAATACCATAAATACAAATAAATGTAGGATTTTTTCAAATAAAATACTCTGGCTGAATAAACTAATTCACATTAAAATCTAATAAGATTTTTTTTAAAAATATAACTATAATGTGTATTGATTTTTATATATTTAATGAGATATAATGTGTTATTATTATATAAAATGTATCAAATATTACAAAACACAACATTAGATAATGGTATTGTTACTAAAATTATTATTACGTAAATTGAAATAGGTTAAATGCAATAATACTATTATGAGACATTAATATAATAATTGTTGTTAATCTAATTTAATGCAATTTGTTAA